TTTGGGTGGGGGGGGGAATTATCCGCTTTTTTGTTTGCTTGCTTTGTTCATTTGGAATGAATTGCCTACACCTGGGATAGAACAACTCCAATGGAACCAGAATTTCTCTGTGTGATTTACATGAATATTTACTACTGGTCAAACAAATCTCCATTTTAACCTTTTGTTTGCTTGGGGCTGGCAAAACAAAATTCTTGGCCTCACAGCAAATTTTACTTACTAACTAATGAAAGGATCACAACAAGTAAATCAAATATATTCCAGCCATCGGTGAAGAAGTAGTATCTTAGAGCCAGTATTTTCATGATGCACTCTCCAGTAAATATGGCAACAAAGACCTTGTTGATGATCTCAAGAATATTCTTGCTTTTTTCATCTTGGTCTTCACTGACCCACATCATAATGATCATGTTAAGGCAGATGAGAGTCACAATGGTAATCTCAAAAGCTTTGCTTGATACAATGTCAAAAAAAAATCCTTGGTATTTGTTCTGAGAACAAGAAAATGGTCATTAGTGCTAGTTATAAGAATCAAGCAACACAAAAATGGTAATATAATTAAATCTCTACCTCCAGGAAATTAACTCAAGGGAAAATAAATATCACAATAATGGGCCTGAAACATTTTTTTAGGTGACAGCATAGACATCCAAGATTGAAAGCTGCACCTAATATTTCCACATATCACACAATCATGGTTCTTTAGTGGAAATTACACAGCAGAGAATTTCCAGAGTATATTATAACTTATATTTATAAACACGGTTTTAACAAACATGTTTAGTGTAAACGGTTCTTATTAGAGCTAGTAAAACAGCAAAAACCTGATTCACTAATTAATTTATGAAACCAAGCTCCAAGGTCAATTTGCTACTACTTGTGGGTATTATTTGTTATGTACAAGTATTCAGACAACCATTCACTCATGAAAATGTTAATGAATCCTGAAATTTTCAAAAATTTGAACATAGAAGAATTATTTGCCTGTACGATAACTGGAATTCTTTAAGATGTGCTGTCCATATACAAATACCACTCTTGGTAGTGCGCATGTACTTCGTGACCTTGAGATTAGAGTCTTTTGTTCAGCAGTGCCTGTTGGTCCACATATGCACCCTGAATGCTCTTGTACTCATGTTCCGAGGACCTAAAGGGCAGTGTGGGATCAACCACCGCTCAGTTCCTGCTCCACAACAAAAATCCAATTTACTATAGGATTCTGTAATAGTGGGGAAGGACTGTGGAATGTGTGTGTATACACACACACACACACGTATCTCAAAAAATCCCAGCTATTGCACAGGTAAGTAACTTTTATTTCTTCTTTGAGTGCTTGTCCCTATATGTGACTCCCAAACAGTGGCCTGAAGTAAGGTGGTGGTGGCTCAGAGTCTCATCTGAAGATAGATTGTAAAACAGCTCTGCCAAAAGAAGTGTCCACTCTAGAAGCTTCCACTAATGCACAGTGCTTAGTAAACATCTGTATGGAGGCCTATGTGGTTACTTTGCCGATGTCAATAATGTGGATGTTTCTCAAAGAAGCAGCAGAGGCTGCTTGTTCCCTAGTGGCATGGGCTCTAATGCTATCTGGGGATCTAATCTATATAGTCCATAACAAAGTCTGATGCACCCTGAAACCCATTTAAATAACCTTTGGATGGAAATAGAACGGCCGTTCATTCTCTTGGCAAAGGACAAGAAAAGTCTTTAGGAAGCTCTGAAGGGTTTTATTTGCTGCAGGTAAAGGGCTGGGGCCCTATGAATATTGAGGATATGTAGAGATTAGAGGCTCCATGACTAGAATGAAGCTTAGGAAAAAATGTAGGTAGCTGGATAGTCTGATTTAAATGGAAGTCTGATATTACTTTTGGCAAGAACTTAGAGGGTGGTCTAAAAGACATCTTATCAGAGTAGAAAGTAGGTGCTCTCATGGCAGATTCCTCTTACACTATCTCCTCTATCTTTCTAGCCAATGTGATTGCTATTAGGAAAGAAATTTTCATGGATAAGTATAGCTGAGAACGTGATGCCATGGGCTCAAATGGGGGACCCATGAAGCCTGCCAGCATAACATTAAGGTCCCGTGGGGAATGGCTTCAATATTGGTGGAAAACCCCTCATGAAGCCCTTAAGGAATCTGGACATCCTGGGGTGGGAACAGACTGTACATCCCATGAGAGGTGGACAGTAAATGTTAGTAGCTGCTAGGTGCACCTTCACAGAACTAATTAAAAGTCGAGAGATCTCTAGAGAGAGTAGATAGCTAAAATAGTATGTGGCATTTGTGTCTCAAGAGGCTGTAAGACATACCATTTCAAAAATCTTCTCCACTTAGCCACATAAGTGTGTCTGGTAGAGTCTTTCCTACTATTTGCTAAAATATTCTGCACATCTGATGAACAAGGCCTCTTTACTTCTGACATACATCCAGAAATCATATTGTCAGATGCAGGGTGGATGGATTTGTATGGAGGTTGGTTCCTTCATTTTGGGCCTCAGACCTGGCTTGGCCAGGTGGGAGCTATCAGGATAACCCTGGATGCATCTTGTCTGATCTTCCTGAGTTCCTTTGGGAACAATGGCATTGGTGGATAAGCATATATCAGTGCATGGGACTGTGAAATGAGGAACCCATCTGAAAACAATTCCATAGCTGAACTGCCTTCTGGAACAGTTGAGATGAGCATGCCCCTCCCTGCCTGTTTATATAATACATAGTGGTCATGTGTTTTGTCCTGATGTGAATGGACAGTCCTTGAATCAGAGCTAAGAACTCCATAGATGCTGTGGGTGGAAGTTTTGTGTAAAGAAGAACTATGTTACAGGGATTACCACTTCAGAATGGAATTGTGTTGAAGGGATTATGGCCTCATCCAGAGACAAAGATGAGGCAGTCATTGATCCGTATCATGCCCTCTTGAAGCTCCTATAGTACCTGAATCAGGCTGTGGAGTGTCTTTAGATGAGGAATGAAGAGAAGAGGCAATTGTGACCTATATTTTGCAGAAGCTGTATGAGGAGGTCTGCTTCTGATTTTAGAGAAATACAAAACATAAGAATGGCTATACTGGGTCACACCAATGTTCCATCTAGCCCAGTATCCTGTGTTCTGACAGTGGCCAATGCAAGATGCTTCAGAGGGAGTGAAAAGAACAGGAAAATTATTGAATGATCCATGCCGTCATCTAGTCCCAGCTTCCTGCAGTCAGATGTTTAAGGACACCTGGAGCATGAGATTCCATCCCTAACCATCCTAACTAGTAGCCACTTATGGACATTTTCTCCATGAACGTATCTAATTCTTTCTTTGAACCCAGTTATAAATATAGTTATACTTCACAACATCATCTGGCAATGAGTTCCACAGGTTGGCTGTCCATTGTGTGAAGAAATACTTCCTTATGGTAGTTTTAAACCTGCTGCCTATTAATTTCATGGAGTGACTCCTGGTTCTTGTGTTATGTAAAGAGATAAATATCTAGGGCTGTCAAGCGATTAAAAAAATTTATCGTGATTAATCACACTGTTAAACAATAATAAAATACCATTTATTTAAATATTTTTGGATGTTTTCTACATTTTCAAATATATTGATTTCAATTACAACACAGAATACAAAGTGTACAGTGCTCACTTTATATTTATTTTTCTTTACAAGTATTTGAACTGTAAAAAAACAACAAAAATAGTATTTTTCAATTCACCTAATACAAGTACTGTAGTGCAATCTCTTTATCATGAAAGTTGAACTTACAAATGTAGAATTACGTACAAAAAACCTGCATTCAAAAAAAATTGCAACATTTTAGAGCCTGCAAGTTCACTCAGTCCTACTTCTTGTTAAGCCAACTGCTCAGACAAACAAGTTTGTTTACATTTGCAGGAGATAATACTGCCCGGTTCTTGTTTACAATGTCACCTGAAAGTGAGAACAGGAATTCTCATGGCACTGGTGTAACCAATATTAGAAGATATTTATGTGCCAGATGCGCTAAAGATTCATATATCCCTTCATGCTTCAACCACCATTTTAGGGGACATGCGTCCATGCTGATGACGGGTTCTGCTCGATAACAATCCAAAGCAATGTGGACCAACGCATGTTCATTTTCATTATCTGAGTCAGATGCCATCAGCACAAGGTTGATTTTCTTTTTTGGGAGTTCGGGTTCTGTATTTTCCACATTGGAGTGTTGCTCTTTTAAGACTTCTGAAAGCATGCTCTACACCTCATCCGTCTCAGATTTTGGAAGGCACTTCAGATTCTTAAACCTTGGATCGAGGGCTGTAGCTATCTTTAGAAATCTCACATTGAAATCTGCAGTGAAAGTGTTCTTAAAATGAACATCATGTGCTGGGTCATCATCTGAGACTGATATAACATGAAATATATGGTAGAATGCAAGTAAAACAGAGCAGGGGACATACAATTCTCCCCCAAAGAGTTCAGTCACAAATTTAATTAATGCATTTTTTTTAACGAGCATCATCAGCATAGAAGCATGTCCTCTGGAATGATGACTGAAGCATGAAGGGGCATATCTGGCATGTAAATACCTTACAATGCCGGCTACAGAAGTGCCATGCAAATGCCTGTTGTCACTTTCTGGTTACATTGTAAATAAGAAGAGTACAGTATTATCTCCTATAAATGTAAACAAACTTGTTTGTCTTAGTGATTGGCTGAACAAGAAGTAGGAATGTGTGGACTCGTAGGCTCTGAAGTTTTACATTGTTTTGTTTTTGAGTGCAGTTATGTAACAAAAAAAATCTACATTTGTAAGTTGCACTTTCATGACAAAGGGATTGCACTACAGTACTTGTATGAGGTGAATTGAAAAATACTATTTCTTTTGTTTATCATTTTAACAATGCAAATATTTGTAATAAAAAATAATATACACTTTGATTTCAATTACAACACAGAATACAATATATATGAAAATGTAGAAAAACATCTAAAATATTTAATACATTTCAATTGGTATTAACAGTGCAATTAAAACTGAGATTAATCACGATTAATTTTTTAATCGTGATTAATTTTTTTGAGTTAATCAGGTGAGTTAACTGCAATTAATCGACAGCCCTATAAATAATGCTTCCTTATTCACTTTCTCCACACCATTCATGATTTTATAGATCTCTATCATATCCCCTCTTAGTTGTCTCTTTTGCAAGCTGAACATGCCCAGTCTTTTTAATTTCTCCCCATATGGAAATTGTTCCATATCCATATTCATTTTTGTTGCTCTTCTCTGTATTTTTTCAAATTCTAATATATCTTTTTGAGATGGGGTGACCAGAGCTGCATGCAGTATTCAAGGTGTTGGCATACCATGAGTTTATATAGTGACATTATGATATTTTCTGTCTTATCAGCTATCCCTTTCCAAATAATTCCTAATGGTCTGTTGGCTTTTTTGACTGCTGCTGCACACTGAGCTGGTGTTTTCAGAGAACTCCTTCCCTTCAAAATCTTTTTAGCAGATGTGATGAACAAAGGCCTATCTTGACAGGTTTCAGAGTAGCAGCCGTGTTAGTCTGTATCCGCAAAAAGAACAGGAGTACTTGTGGCACCTTAGAGACTAACAAATTTATTTGAGCATAAGCTTTCGTGGGTTACATCCCACTTCTTCGGATGCATAGAATGGAACATATATTGAGGAGATATATATACACACATACAGAGAGCATGAACAGGTGGGAGTTGTCTTACCAACTCTGAGAGGCCAATTAAGTAAGAGGAAAAAAACCTTTTGAAGTGATAATCAAGATAGCCCTGTACAGACAGGTTGATAAGAAGTGTGAGAGTACTTACATGGGGAGATAGATTCGCATATCAATTTGAGTTCTGCAGTTTCTCGTTGGAGTCTGTTTTTGAAGCTTTTCTGTTGTAAAATAGCCACCCGCAGGTCTGTCATTGAATGACCAGACAGGTTAAAGTGTTCTCCCACTGGTTTTTGAGTATTATGATTCCTGATGTCAGATTTGTGTCCATTAATTATTTTGCGTAGAGACTGTCCGGTTTGGCCAATGTACATGGCAGAGGGGCATTGCTGGCACATGATGGCATATATCACATTGGTAGATGTGCATGGACTACAAGCTATCAGGAACAGTATCTCTGATAATGTCACAGCTAACCTGGTGGCTGAACTTTGTCCTCACCCACAACTATTTCACATTTGGGGACAATATATACTTTCAAGTCAGCGGCACTGCTATGGGTACCCACATGGCCCCAAAGTATGCCAACATTTTTATGGCTGACTAGAACAACGCTTCCTTAGCTCTCGTCCCCTAACGCCTCTACTTATGCTCAAATAAATTTGTTAGTCTCCAAGGTGCCACAAGTACTCTTGTTCTTTTAACATTATGAATGTTAACTGAATGTTTGAGTCAGCCTTGAAAGCATGAAAACTTCAAAGACCATTATATTGAGGTGGGCCAGATGATATAAGACCACAGAATATTCATAGCCCTTTGTATCAATATATGTTATATGTATGTGTGTGTTACTGGTTTACTAGCAGGTGATTAATGCCAAATCCCAACGCTGGTTATGTAGATATGACTGTGCATTGTGTGAAGAATTAAATTTAAATTAAATTAAATTAATGGAGATATCCTATCTCCTAGAACTGGAAGGGACCTTGAAAGGTCATTAAGTCCAGCCCCCTGCCTTCGCTAGCAGGACCAAGTACTGATTTTGCCCCAGAAGAAGTACTTCCTTATGTTAGTCTTAAACCTGCTGCCTATTAATTTTAAGGCTTGACCTCCTGGGGAGAAGGGAAGAGATTGGTGGTACCTGTTTTCAGTAGGCTAGGAGACAAAGCAAGAGTTTTGGTATAAAAGGCTGAGTTTATCCAGAAAGAGAAGCTTTCTTTTTAATTTAACAAATGGATGTGATCTGTTGCTTAAAGAGGGGATAGGTTAGAAGGACCTGAACCTGTGATCAGACTGATGAGTGACTTCTGGAAAATTTAGTGTGTGTTTAGACCTTTTTATTATTTTATATGTTTTCTCTGTATGCTTTTGTCTTTAAATAAATGTACTATGCTTTGGAAGAGCTGTTCGGTTCCTGATAAATTACTGTCATTGTCCTTCAGAGAGAAAGCAAAGAGGAGGGGCCGGGTGTTAGTCAGACCTTATTGGGATAATCACAGTGGATTGCAGGTGATCTGCAGCTCTCTGGTTAAGAGGAAGTGGAACGCGGGTCCCTGCCTAGAGAGAGGTGATGGCTAGAGGCCTGAGATGACATTCCTTAAGCAAACCACAGAAGGCGGAATAAAGGAGCAGTTACCCAGAATTTACCCAGTCTTCTTAGGACAGTCCCACTAGAATCCCTGCAAGTCTGTGGCTTAGTCAGTGGAACCCTGGAGCTAACTGAAGCTGAGCTCACAGGGGATCTCTGGACACAACAGGCATGTGTGTGTCAGTCAATCAGTCAGTATGACCTGGGTCTGAGGCAGGCTGTATAGTGTGGTCAAGCAGAAACAATTTAAGCTTCATCTCTCTGGCTTTTAAAGTTCTTTTTGAAAAGGGCTTGTACACAGTGTATTTACTCAGGATATGGGTCTTCCCCAAACCAAAAAGGGACCTATTGTGCTCATCATTAATAAAAAGTACAGCTCACAAAGGGGGCAATATTTAAATCCAGGAGACTTTGAATGTGACATCCTCATGCCCTGGTGCTGGCAAGATCCTGGTCAAGAAATATTTACAAGGGAAGGTACAAGTACTAAAACCTTCCGCCCAAAAAATGAAATCTTTTAAAAAAGAGGTGTCAACAGGCAACTAAGTATATTAACTGTATTTTTTATCAAAAAGAAACAGTGTGGTACATGGATACTGGAATTCTGTCTCAAAGCTATAGGTTGTGAGAAGGAACAGAGTAGTGGTTAGTCCTTCATGGCCTCTCAGTACCTAACCACAAGTGGGCACAGGGTGTATGCAAGCCCTATCAGACCCTGCTGGCCAAAAGATCTCAGTGTCGAGTACATATGCACCCCCCAAAAATGGACTATATATATGGACAAGCAGTAAAGGGAGAATAAATATTCATTTGAAATTTAATACTAGGCATAAAAGTTATTTGTTAATCACTATTCACCTGTTTTAAAAGTAGCAGTAACTTAATCAGGGAGTGCAAATCATATTTGTGATTAGGATATGTCTTAGCGGGAGCTAGAATTTCTAGCTCAGGCAGATATACCCAGCTAAAAAGAATAGCGTAGCTGCAGCAGTGCAGGTGGCAGGATGGGCTAACTCCCACAAGTTTGTAGCTAGGGTTCAAAACAGGATTGCACTTGGGGTGGCTACACGGCTATTTTTAACACACTAGCTCAGTCAGAGTTAGTGCAGGTGTATCTACCCAAGCTGGAAATTACACCTCCAGCTCCAATGTAGACATTCCTTTAGGTGACCATCATCATACTGTGAGCAGTAAATAGTCAACCCAAACCGTTCACAAACACCTGATATGATGCCAATATTTTCCCTATGTATTTGGTGATTACTTACAAATAAAAATGTTAGAAGAAATTAGGATCAGTTTGCAACTGAGTCACAAATAGAAATAGGTCTGAATTAGTGAAAAATATTAATCACAATGCATAATTTCATCAGATCTCATTTTGAATGTGTGTTTCCAGCTGATAGATTGGTCTAAAAATAGTCACTGATTATGCATATTTGTTTCAAAGTGATTCAGGATGGACTTACCAATGGCCTTGGGATGGATTTTTGGGGTTTCTTGGATCCAAGTTTCTTCAGGGCATTATAATACTTTTTCTGTTCCTTTGTCAAAAAGATATGATCTCCGCCTAAGTACAGGAAAATCACACTGCTATTCATTTTAATTGAAGACAGTTAACTGGGGGGAAAAATGCATTTTTGCAAGAAAATGTTTACCTAGCATTGTTATAAGTAGTACCTAAGAGAGATTGAGAAAAATATGTTTTTCTTGCCTATTTTTTCAGTTGGTTACATTTTGCTTTGGACAGTTTATTGTCAGAATAGTCAGCCAGGGCTTGATGTTAAAACCCTTACCCATTTGAGTTGCCCTTACTTACATAAGCAAGGGTTTCCAAGCTCAAGCCCTTAGTCAGTTTCCCTTGCTATTTGTGAGAGTCTTTTTTGAAAAAAAATGATGGAAGCAAGGTCTGAATGAGTTCTCTCCTGACATCTAGTGAGACATATGCTGGGAGAAAAGACTTCAGGTGCAGACTGCGTTTGCATAAACATGCCTGCTCTGCGTAGGTGCA